GGAGGCAGCTTCCCGATCTTCAGGTAATCTATATACCTGTTTCTCCAGTCCCAAGTCACACTTGTCGAATGTATCTCGGCATGAACTTCTTCTACCACTGATTTTATAAGTTGTACGATCGTTCCCGGGCTGAATTCATCATCATCAACCGATGACCCCAAGTTAGCGAGATCATCGGCTTCGTTATTTTGATCCCGCGGCACATGTTGTAGAGTCCATTGCTTGAATCGATGAAGCGTTACCTGTAGTTTATCCAAGTATCTTCGCATTCGTTCCTCTTTCACTTCAAATGTACCATTGACTTTATTTACTACAATGAGGGAATCACATTTAGCTTTGATCACTTCGGCCCCCAGGGTTTTAGCCAATTCAAGACCTGCAATCATGGCCTCATACTTGACCTCATTGTTAGTCAATTTCACAGTTCTAATAGATTCCCTAACTACGTTACCCGTGGGTGGATTCAATACAATGCCGAGTCCGGACCCCTTTGTGTTCGAGGCACCATCCGTAAAGAGGGTCCAGATCCCCGAGGAGGTCCCCGAAGTTAGCAACAGTTCTTTTTCGACTTCGGGTATTAAGGTCGGTATAAAGTCTGCCAAAATTTGAGATTTGATGGCGGTCTGGGGTCGATATTTGATATTGTACCCACTAATTTCAATGGCCCATTTGGCCAATCATTCCGAGAGCTCGGGTTTGTGCATTATGTTCCTCAATGGGTAAGTAGTTACTACACATATGGGATGACATTGAAAATATGGTCTTAACTTCCTGGAGGCGCTTAGCAAAGCGAGCACCAATTTCTCCAGGTGAGGATACCTCGTTTATGCCTTGTCTGGAGTCATGCTAACATAATATATAGAAAATTGCGTACCTTCTTCTTCCCGTACTAAGACTCCACTTACCGTTATCTCGGATACCGCTAAGTGCAGGTACAACTACTCGTCTACCTTCGGAGTATGAAGCAAATGTAGACTCGAAAGGTATCGTTTGTGTTTTCCCAAAGCTTGATGGCACTCCGGGGTCCACGAGAAGTTATTCTTCTTCTTCAATAACGAGAAGAACCGATGGCTCTTTTCGGAGGACCTTGAAATGTACCGACCCAGGGCGGCTATGTGCCCGGTTAGCCTTTGAACAATCTTGACATTGTCCACCACGGTGATGTCCTATATAGCTTTAATCTTGTCAGGATTGATCTCGATCCCCCGTTTGGACACCATGAATCCTTCCCAAATCCGACCCCAAATGCGCATTTCTCCGGGTTCAGCTTCATATTGTATTTCTTCAGTATGTTGAAGGTTTCTTGCAAATGTTCCAAATGGTCCTCTACTTGCAGGGACTTAACTAACATGTCGTCAATGTAAACCTCCATTGATTTTCCTACTTTCTCTTCGAACATACGATTTACTAGGCGTTGGTAAGTGGCACGAGCATTCTTTAGTTTGAATGGCATTACGTTATAACAATAGGTGTCGTATTTAGTGATGAAGTAAGTCATTTCTTGGTCGCCCGGGTCCATCCCGATCTGGTTGTACCAGAAATAGGCGTCGAGAAAGCTGAGTATCTCGTGGTCGGTCATCGCATCGATCATGAAATCGATGTTAGGCAAAGGAAAAGAGTCCTTAGGGCATGCCTTGTTAAAGTCTTTGTAGTCTACATATATTATTAATTTATTTCCCTTTTTAGGCACTACTATTATGTTTGCTAACACATCTGGGTACTTAACTTCCCGAATGAAACCTATTTTATGGAGTTTGGATACCTCGTCTTTGATGAATGCATGCTTGACTTCGGACTGAGGCCTCCTCTTCTGTTTAATCGGGTGGAACTTCGTATCCAAGCTCAGCTTGTGAGTAGTTATTTCTGGCGGGATCTGTGTCATATCAAGATGGGACCAAGCGAAACAATCTATGTTAGCTATAAGGAATTCAATGAGTTTTTTCCTAAGCTCAGAAGTTAGCCCCGTGCCCAGGTATACCTTCTGATTGGGCAAGTGCTCGACCAATATGACTTGCTCCAGCTCCTCAACCGTTGACTTGGTGGCATCAGAATCGCCAGGAGGTATGAACGACCTAGGAACTCCGTAATCATCATGCTCTCTTGTCTCCTGCTTCTCAGGTTCGGTCGGGGCCGGTGTTGGTGATTTCTATTTAGTTTCTTTCCTCGTAACTTAACTCGAGTCCTTTGGTGTCGAGAGCGCGGATATAAGGATCACCTCATCGACCGCAAATATTTTTTTTGCGGCCGGCTGTTCTCCGTAAACAGTCTTGATCCCTCCCGGTATGGGGAATTTCAACACCTAATGCAGTGTCGAGGGTACTGCCCTCATGTTGCAAATCCATGGCATTCCGAATAAAGCATTGTATCTCATATCTCATTCGATCACGTAGAACTTTGTTTCCTGAACGGTTCTGGTGGTGTTCACCAACAGGGTTATCTCCTCTTAATTGTCTTGCATGCCATGTTAAATCCATTTAACACTCGGACTACATGCACTATTTGGTCTTGTAGACCCAGCTGTTCCACGACCCTCGATCTGATGATATTGGCTGAGTTACCTGGATTAATTAACACACACTTAACTTGAGATTTATTTATGAGTACAGATATTACCAGCGCATCATTATGTGGTTGCACGATGCCTTCAGCGTCCTCGACGTTGAAAGATATGGTTCCCTCTGGTACATAATCTCAAGTTTGTTTTTCCCTTGTAATGGATATCTTAGTGCACTTTAACATCGTCCCTTGGGGGATGCCAACTCCCCAAATGATTATGTTAATGACATACTGAGGTTCCTCTTGCTCGATCCGCTTGTTGGAGTCCCTATTCCTGAAGTGATTTTTGGCTCGATAAAGTTCTTACTTTTGTTCATCAGTTCTTCATTATTGTGAGCCCGGGATCGAAGGCAGACATTACATTAAACTGTTACTGAGTCCGGGATCATTCCCTTTAATTGGTTTGACAATTTATTATGTCCTTTATCTGTTCAATCTAACATTTTTTATCATTTGTATTGAATTAATCTGCATATCATTAAAATCACATATAAATTCATTTGTTATCTGTTTTTTAGGATAAACAACAATATTTAAGTGATGATGAGCAATATAAGCCATGATGTTTGTGTTTAACCCCAACTGTTTTAACCATTAACATATTAGTAGATTTCACAAAATCTTTGTCATTTGGTTTTTGACTTTTCAGAAAAATCTTTTTTGATATATTTATAATATTTTTGTCAGGTTTTATTTCTATATAATCTTATTGTTTTCAAAATTTTAAAGTTTATTAAACTATTCATTTGTTATGAGTAAGCTTATTAACTATTCAAAAATCTTAATTTTGATACGATTACTCTATGAGATATTATGTCGACCTCAACTTTAATATTTCTTCTTCTACCATTTGCTACAAAATGTAAGCTAACATTGCATCTATGGTCGGAACTAGGGTGGCGGAAAGGGATTCAGCTGAACCCCTTTGTCGAAAAATTAAATTGTATATACAATATAAAAATTATTTTTTATGTAGTATAGTAGATATTGAATCCCTTGTGTATTTATTTTTTATATTTTAAATCTCCTTAGTGAAAATACTATTGATCTGCATCACATAAAAATAATTGGACGGAGGAATCAAATTTGTTAATGTAGCCTTTGTATTCTTATTTATGCCTTCCCCTCGAAATCTTATATCGAATTAGTAATATATTTAGTTATATAATTTCAGTTTTTAATTAGAATATAATGTCTTAGAAAAATAGTTTGAACACAATTTATTTTTCCTTATTTTTAATGAGAGTGTGGCTGTGAATAGTGAGAAGGAAAAGTACAAAAAAAAAGAAGAAGAAGATAAAAACAAGGAAAGGATCTAATTTAAATGCACTTTGCAATGGTTAGATTAAAGCTCCGATCACAAATCATTTTTAAATATTGCGATTCACATGGATAAAGCTAGTTGCTGTCTTCTTTTCTTTTTTAAATATTTCTTTCCGTCATCGTGTTTAACGGAAAATTATGTTTCTCTCCAATCCCAAACGATTTTTAAGTACCGCGAAGCACGTGGATGAAATATAATATTCCGAATTACTTGGGTTCTTTTGGTAGGATGCATTACACAATAATTTATGTATTAGTTTTTGGTATTACTAATTTCTTATTTGGTATATATTTTTAACAAATATATGTATTACTAATGCAACTATTAGTTATACAACATATTTGTTATTATCATATGTATAACTATTATATACCGAACGGGAGATTTGTTATTAGCAATATCAAGGCTATTAGTGCTTGCATTAGCATAGTTAAAGATAAAATTGTCCTTAAAGTCCCTTAAAGCTCTTTATGGAGGGCATTTTTATAAATAACTAATTTTCTTAAAAATTATGCAATGCATTTTAATTTTTAATAAACCATATCAAACTGTAGATAAGAAATAATCTCTGCATACCTAATGTTTTTGTTACTAACCCATGCATTACTAATACACCTAATTCATCATTATTTTTATACACTCTGCATTACTAATACACCTTATTTAACACTATTTTTATAGGCACTGCATTTGGAGATTGAAACAGTACATAAGCAAGTGCTATAAAAATATAATTATATGGTAATTCCTTCTTAAGGTCCCGTAACCAATGAAAGGCAATTTATTCTATCTATATACTAATAATTTAATATATTCAGAAAGTAAATTCAAAATGTCTGAACAATATTCATGAAACTACACATAGAATTTTGGTAAATGCTTTAAAAGTCTTCCCTTCTATTATATGATCTGGCTTTAAATTAAGTCAAAAGAATTGGATGCATACAACATGCAATAAATGGATTCATAGGCCACAAGTAATAATAATATTTACAATCTTTTTAAAAATTCTTTCTAAAGTCAATGACTCTTCCAAATAAAATAAGATCTATAATTTGTTTTTTTTAAATTCATTCTAAAGTCAGTGATTCAACCAATAAGAGCTCTCTTTAAGTATATTAGAACTGTGAATCGTATTGGAAGTAAACTCCCTAAATACTTTTGAGGGAAGAAGAACTGAAAAGGAAAAAGAAGAAGAAGAGAAAATTGCAGAAAATATGAAAATAACAATATGTCTTCTTTCATGTTTTTTTGCTCTATTGTTTACACCCACATTTGCCATAAAAAAGGTAAACATACGTACCTTTCATTTCTCTTTATAAATTGTGAATATATCGTTACTATTTGCAGCATATTATAGCTCAAACAAAAATCTTAACATAATTTTAGAAAATCATATTTTTCGTCGAAAAGTTTCAAAAATTTTAGTAATGAAAATAATTTGCGTTTTATATAGTCATACGTGGTGTATATGGGTGCACATTCACATGGAAAAGAAGCATCATCCATTGATTTTGATAGAGTTACTGATTCCCATCATGAGTTTCTTGGATCACACTTAGGAAGGTAACTGAATATTGTCAAACTTTAGCTCTTTTTTATTTCCGATTATTTGAAATCCTAAATATTTTAGTCTTTTTTTCTAACATGTTTAAAATCTGAACAGTATTGAGAAGGCCAAGGATGCAATTTTTTACTCTTATACTAGACACATCAATGGCTTTGCTGCCATGCTTGAGGATGAAGAAGCTGCAGCATTATCCAGTAAGCATTCTGAATTCTCAAATGGTTTGAGTTTTGCAACTACTACCCATTTTTTCCCCTCTTTTGCTTCAATTCACATTTTCACTGTTCAAAGGTGAATTCAGGAAATAGAGTCGGTGAATTATGTAGGCAGAAGGGTGGTTAATTAGTTCTTGAACACCTTTTGTCAAAAAATAATATTGCGAATAGCGGTTAAACAAATATTCATGAACAAACTTAGCGATATTCCTGAGTTCGCTACTTATTACTATATGTTTACATTTTAATTTTCTCACAAATATGTATATAACTCGAGCAGAAAAATAACAATAATTAAATTCAATTGACAAAAGTCGCCTTAAATTCGCTTCTAATTGTGTCTATATGAACTTTTTTTGCAGAGCATCCCGGGGTAGTATCAGTATTCTTGAACAGGGGTAAAGAACTACACACAACCAGATCATGGAATTTCTTGGGGTTGGAACATGACGGAAAAATCCACGAAAGCTCTTTATGGAAAAAGGCTAAATTTGGAGAAGATATCATTATTGGCAACATTGATTCTGGTACGTGTTGTTTCTACTCTCACTCTCTATATTGACCTCACACGTCAGCTTATTTTCTGTCAATATGATCCAATTTTAATGTCTTTTTAGAAGGGAGCCTTGGAGCAATGATAAAATTGTAGGTTACTGGCCGTGGAATCAGCCACTGATATTTCCATTAGGGTAGTCTGTCTATATCATACCTCTTTGGGGTGCGACATTTCCCCAAACTCTTCATGAACACGGAATACTTCGTGTACCGGGCTGCCCTTGGACGTCCTTTTTCACCTAATGTTGGTTTTCCATATTGGATTTACTATAAATAGTTACCCAGTACTCATATTTAGTACATAAAAGCCAAACTCTTTTTATTATAATTTAAGAAAAAAACTTTTTTAACTTCTTTCTAATTCTTTCTTACTCATCTTTAGACTTCTTTGATTCACAATATAATTATTTTTGCAATTTGTCTATTGGATATGAAGTTGGCACAAATGCACGTGGATCATTGACTTTATTGATGTAAGATCCGGAATTTCTTATTACACTGATTTTAATGTTTGATAATCACCTTCACCTTGGTGTGAGCTAGCTAGTGTTAGAGTGTACGTCTAGAGAACAAATAAATCTTATATATATATATATATATATATA